GTTTAGCAGACCAATGCTCAAACCACTGAGCTATCCCTCCCCCTCCAAGCTAATTATTTTTAACTTTTTGCTTAGTGAACTGAAATATTGGTTATTTGCACAGCTCCTGTTGGCAGATCTGTGTAGCATTGCCTTATGTTTCTTATTTTAAGGGACTCTTAAGCCTTTTCCCTCCCAAACATTTAAGAGGTAGGAAAGGGACTGTTCTTACCCTGCTAAAGTTGTTGGTGTTAAGGGGCCAGCTATTACTAGTCTTTCTGATTTCTTTCAAAAGCCCCTGCATCTTCCATGCATTTCTCCAGTTATCCTTGATTAGGTATTAACCCTGACTCAGTATTTCCAAAAGCATATTTGTTTGCAACCGTTGAGAGGGGAAGGGTGGTGGAACAGGCCTTTGTTGGGAGGGCTCTGTTTTAGATCACTGCTGTGTTTAGGGTGTGCTCTTCCACTTACTGAGGATTGCCGATGTACAGGAGATAGCATGGACTCTGAAAGCTGAGAAGACTGCAGTGTTGCCTACTGGTTAGAGCAGATTGAGTCAGGACCCCTGCTTTGTATTCCCAGCTCTGCCATGGACTCAGTTGGGCAAGTCCTTTTAACCCACCCGTGCCACAGTTTCGCCATCTGAGAAATGGCGAATAACTTACCCACTACATGTGGATGTCGTGTGGTTAAATTAATGTTAGTAAAACACTTACAATGCCTTTTGTTCAAGGGTCTAACTGCCCAGTACTAAATTTGGATGATGCATGTCAAGTTACTTTGCATCCTTTGTGGTGCAGGAGTCTGCGGAGCATTCAAACCTTTGGACTGGGAGTTTGTGTCAATAATATCAGTCTCACTAACTTAAACATTGACTGAGACTCTTCTCAAGTTCCTCACATCCACTAAGGTTGACATTTTCACAGCTTCGGGAATGAGACACGAGAAGGTAGATTTGGAGTTTGTTCATTGTCTCATCACACAAAAACAAGAGGACATTCAATGAAATTGAAAGTGTTAAATTCAAAACTGATGAAAGGAAACGCTTTTTCACACCAAGTGTAAATAGACGGTGGAACTCCTTGCCACAGGAAGTTGTTGAGGCCAAGAATTTAATAAGATTAAAAGATGAATGGGATGTTTATATGGATAACAAGAACAGCCAGAGCTATAATAGTTATTGCTAAAAAATGGAGAAGGGTTACTAAACCCCATGCTTCAGGGGCTTACGTTAATCTCCATGTTAAAGATCAGGATGAGACCAAGTATGAGCAGCAGATTATAAGAACATAAGAACGACCGTACCGGGTCAGACCAAAAGTCCATCTAGCCCAGTATCCTGTCTACCGACAGTGGCCAATGTCAGGTGCCCCAGAGGGAGTGGACCTAAGAGGCAATGATCAAGTGATCTCTCTCCTGCCATCCATCTCCATCCTCTGACAAACAGACGCTAGGGACACCATTCCTTACCCATCCTGGCTAATAGCCATTAATGGACTTAACCACCATGAATTTATCCAGTTCTCTCTTAAACACTGTTATAGTCCTAGCCTTCACAACCTCCTTAGGTAAGGAGTTCCACAAGTTGACTGTGTGCTGCGTGGTGAAGAAGACCTTCCTTTTATTTGTTTTAAACCTGCTGCCTATTAATTTCATTTGGTGACCCCTAGTTCTTGTATTATGGGAATAAGTAAATAACTTTTCCTTATCCACTTTCTCCACATCACTCATGATTTTATATACCTCTATCATATCCCCCCTTAGTCTCCTCTTTTCCAAGCTGAAGAGTCCTAGCCTCTTTAATCTT